TGTATTTGCTAGTTTAAAATAATAAATAACAACAAAACAATTCTTATAACCAGTCTCTTTCTATCCTTCACTTCCTTATATCGCAATCCTTGTCCCACTCACCTCTTGTTCCTCGTAGCGCACGCTCGGAATTCTTCGCTCAAACTCGTGACTAGTCTCGCTAAAGGTCGTCCTGTCTCTGTCACACCCTCACTGTCTGGTATCTCGCCTTCTTCTTCTACATCGGCGTCCGCTTCCACTTCTCCTTCTTCAATAATGCGTCGAGACACGGAGTCTATTACTTCTAGAAGTTCATTTTGAATTTGGACCTTGAATTTCTGTAAAAAAATATGAAGAGTTAGTGATGTCTGTCTATTTAAAGGTGGAAATGAAATCTTATCGATAAGAAATCGATTAAAGAAAACGATTATGTTATAAAACTACAAGTATCGAGAGATTGCAGAACTTTAATTAGACTTATTTAATAACCTCGGTGGCTTCCTTAAGTTGTTCTAATACTCCAAGAGCCTCAAGGGATATCATGACGGTGGTCTCGAAGGTCTTATCCTCCTCCGATAGAGAGGCCTCGAACTCCGGTGTGACTTCTTGCAAGTACGCGTCCGTTACTTCTTCACTCTTTGTTAGTTCTGGAAGAGGTGTATTTGGTAAATAACTGTTGTCAGTGTAAAACTTCTTTTGACTGTCATAATACACCCTGTATTAAAAAAATATATATATTACACCACGTGCGAGTCAGGCAGTCAATTACGTTTAACCACTTTTTAAAATTAATGTTCATTCTAAAACCAGCTTTTTTGCTAAAGTATTAGAGTTGATATTTGTTTATTTTTGCTAAGGCTAATAATTTAAACATCGAATACTATTCTCACCAGCCAGTAGTAACGCAGTCCGCCTCCTTGCAGACACACGCCTCGTTAATGGCGCTCGTTCGTCTCTGTATACTGCGTCGCTTAGACGTCGGACTATCACGTCTACTAGTTCCTGCTTTTTCAGCTAAAAATTAAGATTATGTACCTTAAAGTTCTGGATACAACTTAAAAAGTTGACGATATATTTAGGATCTTAGAAAACATTTGGAATCGGATCACTAGTTATTTTTGTATTATCGTGTGGACTATGGATCGAATTAGCGATATGCTCAAGATATTTCTTTAGATCCTGTCTAGTTGTAAGTATGTAGACGAAAACCGTTTGTAAATGGCTGAAATTAATGACCGAGCATTATGCAAAATTCGTCGTTCGATAAAGATTTTAAGTAAAAGTAGATGGGTTGTATTGAAACCAGCGCGGGCGGTGAGTACCTGCAGATGTTGCCTGGTGGCGTGCAGCGCGTGCACGTGCGAGAGCGTGGAGTGCGCGGTGAGCAGCGCGGCGTGCAGCGTGCTCGCGGCCGCCAGCACGCGCCCCGCCGCCAGCGCCTCGCGCGCCGCGCGCTCCGACACCACCACGCGCTCGCTGGCCGGGACATCTCATATTATACACGTCGCGGGAGAATTCATTATTCGCCCTATTACATATTTACAGCTAGCTGTTTAGCAAACCAGCGTTTTGTAATACAACGGCTGAACGATTGGCCGAATGAGGTCACGGCGTATGAGGTAGGCGCATGCCCTGCGTGAGCTGAGCACCGCCGTGCCCTCAGGGACGTGATTCGTAGTTTTCGAGAGTGGTCAAACTGATCGTGCTGTCAAAATGTAAATCCAAGATGACGGCTGCACCAATTTTTTACCACCCTCAAAAACCACAAAAACGACACCTATGACGACTTTTTTTTTTTAAGGGGGGAAAATCGTCGAATGACTGCTCCCGCCTGGGTGAGGCGGGAGGGAGTGTAAGACTCTTACTGACTAAAAACCACCCCGTTCCTTCTCCTGCACGTCGAGTCGGAGCCCCGGTTACCCGTTAGGTTCTCCGCGACACCTATGACGACTATGTTGATAACTTTGTATAGCCGCCATCTTGGAATAATTTTTTTTATTTTAATACTATAAAATATGATAATGGTCACCCAAAACAATTACAATGAGGCTAAGCGTGTGCCGTGATATTCTAGAACGTTTAACATTGACTGTTTTCTAAATGGCTAGCAGTAATGTATTACGGCGGATAATACATTTCGCATGCGACATACATATACAAGGTTTAGTTTAGTTTAGTTTAGTTTTGAAGCCGTGACATTTCTAGGGGGCATGTCACAGAAGTCATAAAGGTTCAATGTGGGAAAAAGTTACGGGTCAATAGTTAAAAATACGAAATGAAATGAAATCTTTTATTCGCAATAATCTGCTAGGATTGAAAAATATTTGTTGGTGTATAAAAATTGCCTTACTAGTCTAATTGGAATTAGTGATTGGATTTTCATTTTAACTACTTTCTTAGAAGGTTGTATGTATGTCTCAAACAATCAGTGTCTACTTACTATTTAACCTATTAACCACCACATTCAGCAATAGACAACAAACGAAATGTACTACAAAATGATTTTTTTCTTATAAGCTACAGCTACCAGAAACATATTTTATAATTATTAGTTATTGGTAGTCATTCGCAAATCATAATAAATCAATTATGATTTGCGAAGGGTAAGCTTAGGATCATACTCACATGTCAGTAAGCATCTGCAGGGCATAGTGATGGGTGCGAGCATCAGCCCAGAGTCTCTTGAGATCATCACGACGCAAGCGCAACAACCCCCGACAAGCACCAAGGCGAGCTACCACAGCATCACAGTGCTGCCCCCATACTGTCAATGCTGACACTACACTGCTGAATTTCTGTAAAATTAATGAGTTACAAAAGATATGGCTTCGTTGCAAAGCAGGGTATCAAAATTAAAAATCTAATTAGTCCGTCAGTTAGATAATGATAAAATATTAGACACATATTTTTTTATTTGCTCGTATTAAGTTTAATAATGTTACACCATCATTGTAATGTTTGATATTCTATTATAAGGATTATGGTGTGCCTTATTTTTTCAAAATAAACCACAACAAGGAACATAACAAATATAAAAAGTAATAACTAATGCTTTCAAGTAATAAAGAAACAACTGGGAAAGTAAGTAGCGTAAGAAGTCATTAAAACGAATGAATGAATGAATGAATGAATGAATGAATGAATGAATGAATGAATGAATGTCATTTATTTCCAAGTATATGGTACATTGAGGTTTTACATTAAATATTGTTTCACATACACTACCATTGCTGGTGTAGAAATATTATGTTAACCATGCTTTATAAAATAAAATAAAATAATAATAAAAAAAAAAAAAAACTAGTAATTACAATAATGCCAAGTAAATTGAATCACACATTATAAGAATTTGGTTGGTACATGTCATTAAATAGAAGTAACAAAATATTTCATAAAATGTTTAAATGCTAAATACAATGTCAATATGTCAAAACGTAAATTGTCAAAATACTAAACTAAAATACTAAATACAATGTCAGTAAATGTAAAAAAAAAATTAAATTCAATGTCAAAATACTAAATACAATGTCATAATATAATATATTAGAGGTATAATGTCGAAATATTAAATAATGTCAAAACTTGTGATTTAAAAATTCATTAATAGAATAGAAGCACATGTCGAGAAGCCAAGTGAACATACGATATTTAAATTTACTTATTGGTAACATTTTCAGGTCAGGTGATAATTTATTATAAATTTTAATAAACTTAACAATTTATTATAAACTAATGCTTAAGATAAAAGAAGCCTTAAATCAACATGAACTGCGAATCTACGGGTGGACTGACTCCATGGTCGTACTGGGTTGGCTACAAGGAGACCCATCGAGATGGAAAGTATATGTGGAAAACAGAGTCAGAAAAATACATGAAGTGATGCCAGGCTCCCAGTGGGGATACGTCAAAACAACAGAAAACCCTGCTGATGCCGCTAGCCGAGGCCAATTTGCTGGTCAATTGAAAGACAATCAGCTGTGGTGGCAAGGTCCGGAATGGCTATCATCCTTTGGAACAAGTGACATAGGAAAACAAACATATACTACAGACCAAGAAATGAGAAAAATAACTCCGAAACAAGCAAATTCGACCCAAATAAACATAGCAACAACAAATATAACAGAACAATTATTACACAAACATAGCTCTTTTAATCACATCGTTCGCATAATTGCTTGGATACTCAGAGCCTTGAACCCAAAGCGACGTCAATTACCGAAGTATCTTACACTGCAGGAATTGAATAATGCAACAAAGGTAATTGTGAAACAAACACAACATAAAATATTTGACACAGATATTAGTCACTTACGCAAGAAATCAACTGTGCAAGCAAACAGCAAACTAAGGGCTCTCAATCCTTACATTGATCAAGAAGATTTGCTACGTGTCGGAGGACGATTAAGGAACACGATATTAAACGAAGAAATGAATCATCCGATGATCATCCCGCACGAGAGCCGTCTGACACAGTTACTTATTGATCAAGCTCATTGTACAACATTCCACGGTGGGCCCCGTCTTACCTTATCGTATCTTCGACAAAGGTACTGGATTATTGGGGGTATTCGAGCAACAAAGAAACAAATTCGAAACTGTGTTACATGTCGTAAAATAAACCCGGTAAAACAACATCAACTGATGGGTGAGCTACCAAGTGCAAGAACGAACCCCGCTCCACCATTCTACCATACAGGAGTGGACTACACAGGCTTCGTTGACATCAAAATGAACAAGGGAAGAGGTGCCAAGACAACCAAAGGATATATTGCCGTATTCATCTGCATGGTGACGAAAGCAGTACACCTGGAATTGGTCTCCGATCTAACCAGTTCAGCATTTTTGGCAGCTCTAAACAGAATGGCGGCAAGAAAGGGTGCTCCACGGCACCTATATAGTGATAACGGTACGAATTTCATCGGCGCACATAGACAACTTCGAGAACAATATGAGGAAATCGAAATTACTTACAAGAATGAAGGATTACTGAGGGATTTAGTTGAGATGAACATAGAATGGCACTTTAATGCACCTGCGTGGCCATCTGCAGGGGGATTGTGGGAAAGAGCAATAAGAAGCTTGAAACACCACCTGAAAAGAGTTGTAGGAGAACAAAGGCTTACGTTTGAGGAGTACTACACAATCCTATCTAAACTGGAAGCCTGCTTAAACTCTAGACCTTTGTGCCCGCTAACTGAAAACATCGAAGATTTAGATTGTCTGACGCCAGCCCACTTTTTAACAGGAAGGTCAGGTTTGACCGTCATTGAAACAAAGGAAGATGCTCGCACAAGATGGGAATTAACTAGAAAAATTTTCGCTGACATTTGGAAAAAATGGAAAGAAGAATATTTGAGTCAGCTGTTGGTCAGAACCAAGTGGCAGAGGCCTCAACGAAACATACAAATCGGAGACGTAGTTGTCATTCATGACGATAACATGCCTACAGGGAAATGGTTAATGGGTAAAGTAACCAACACTTACCCGGGAGAAGA